TTGCTTTTTCATCACCCTAGAGTATTCCCTTTAGGGAGAATGGTCAGGCTGAGGAAGGAAAATAGCACGTAGAAATCCTATCTTTGCGTGCAGACGGGTTGTTCTGAGCTCTCTGGGAGGTGTGGAGGGACAGTTCTGCCCAGGGCAGGTCACAGGATTCCCTCTGGCATGGTGTGATATGTTGTGGTGCAGTAGCATCCACTGAATCTCTGCAGCTTTGCTGTCATCTTTGCATCTTCGTTCTCTAAACCGTGGCACTGCCCAATGTTTGTGCCATCTACCAAGCCTGCGGACTGGAAAGGCTGAGGGAAGAGCTGCAACAACGTAAATGGGTCAGGAAACATACATGAAGTTCATGGTAGCTGCACTTTCAACTTCATTATCCTTTCATATTACTTGTCTGTAGTATTCAGGTATTCTGGCAAGCACCAATTTTTATTTTTTTTATTTCTCTGATTGTTTTTGCTTCTTCCTTGACACCCTACTTCTGTTGATTAGGCTTTTCCCCTTATTCTGTTCTCTTATCTCACTTTTTGGACCTTCGTATATTCGTCTCATTCCTGTTAACTTCCACTTGTTCACTGCCTATAAGGAGAGCTCACTACTGCAGATTTTCTGTTCCCAACCAGCTGATTTACTTATTGCTTTTAACTGCAATGGAGATGTTCCATCCTAGGATAGTGTCCATGCTTGCTCAGCAAGTGGGGCAGGAACCCACGGCTCATCCCTCCTGGCGTGTTTTAAAATTAGGAAAAACCTACAACTTTCTTTTCTTCCTCTGGTTCTTCGGAAGGAAGTGGCTATTCCCTATGCCATCAGGAAAAACTCTGTCTTGTCTGGGCCACTTGAAATGGGCAAATGAGAAACTCTCAGACCAGCTCTGTCCTTTCTTCATGCACCGAGACTTGGTGCTATCACCAACTGGCCTTTGGGAGCAATCTGGGATGCTGCTGCTCAATCAGTAGCTAAAGCAGAGATGTTCTGGATCTGAGGAGGTATTGTTGCATTTCTCCTACTGGGAGATAAGCTGAAATGCTTCCTGTACTGCTCAGGTTGTGTCTTCCCTGCAGGAGGCTGGAGCAGCAGCATTAGCAGTAGGGCTTTTCCTTTGCCCTTCCCTAGCACTACTCCAGCATCTTCGTTCCTAGAGTGTTTGCAGGTTGTACTGTGAACTACAGAGGAGTTCACAGAACACTGGAATGAGTTACTGACACCAGGCACCTATGCTCAGGGTGTGTTCCAAGCCAGTTCTGTACCAGATGCTCCTTCAAATTAAATGGTTGTACTGGTTATACAAAGAATACAATCGTTGATAAGTTATATTCATTTTATTGTAAACATGTTACCAACAGACATGGTCAACAAATGCAACACATCAGGCATGGTCTAGGTTCCAAAACAAAAAGTGCCGGCACAAATAGAGCATGTATATGCAGTGAGATCAGGAACAGATGTTGAGGCTGAGAAACTGGAAAGCGTCTGTCTTTTGTTGCCTGTGTCTGCTTTGCTGTGATGGAGAAAAAGCTGCAATGAATTTCCTCTAGGAAACATAACCCAGCAGTTAAGTGTTTTTATGGCAATCCAGCACATACAAACCCACGAACACAGTGCTACTCAGGTTCCAAATGCAAAACACATCTGACTTGTACATTCAGTTCCTATAACAGCAATTACCAATTTAATTACCTGCTCAATCCTCTGGCAAATCAGCAGCTTCCCGAGGAGTTACTGGAACTGCACCCAATGTTAGCACTGGGTGTGCTCCTACATGTATGCCATACGCTTTGCTGCCCACTGAAGTTAGGAAGTACACTCAGTTCCATCCTGCACTTGTTCCTGGCCCCTCATGGATTTTGGTAGAGATCAAATTCTCCAACATTTGTATAGAAATGCTGACAGAATAATAGTAGAAAAAACATTAAAAAGAAATAATTCTGCATTAAATGGTACCTGCAACTCCCATCACTGAGACTATTGATGTTATGGGCTTCTGCCATTCACTGCTGGCAGGGACACCCCAGGGATCAGCTTGCTGTATGTGTACCTGTCACCTCTCTGCATGCACCTCAGTGGGAATCAATGCAATCATCATGAGTGCCAATAAAGTAACACTCAAAACTGCCTTTAAATTTGGACCTGGAGTTAAGAGCAAAAAGCATTGTCTGCAGAACAATTTTTTTTTTTTTTTTTTTTTGCATAATGCACGTGATGTGGATACAAGGGTACTATAAAACTATTCGGAACAACGTTTTCTCCTAGAAATTACCCCTAGTAAACATTTAATGTGGGAGCACATAAGGTGTGAAGATTTTGAAGCAAACTGGCTGCTCCTGAGAGCTGAGCATGGAGAGCCTGCTGTTCAGCAGGATTAGGCACGCATGGTTTCACCTCTGCTTGGACCGAAACTGAATGACTCCAGCTTACCCTGAGCTCAATTGAAAGATGGCAAAGTTTGTTCTCAAAGCAGTTTTGGAACTGCTTCAGTCAGATTCCTCGCCTGCTGGGAGGACAAGAACTCGAGCCTTGGAAAGCAATGTTGGTTGTTTCTGCGTTACCCAAACATTCCCAGCAGAGCAATATTCTGTAGGACTGGAGATGAATAGGCCTCAGACTCAACAATTGCAATTCAGTTGCTAGTAAACAGCAAATACAGTCTGCAAGGCTTACAGACCTCAGACCTTTTAACTGAAAGGAGTCCAGAAGTAAAACAACATGAAAGTGTTTTTATCAGCCAAATGATCAATGTCAGCAAAGGACAATTTTCTGAAGTAATGAGCTCACAGCATCTCTAGATAGTGCAAAATACTGAGGGGCTGAGCTTAATTGAAAAAATAATGGCAAACATAGTTCTACAAAGACATTTCCTTATACTTAAACACATCCACAGCAGGTCAGTAGCAAACATAATCTGATCCCTCGCAAGACCAAGAAGTACTTTAGAGTAATTATCTTTTGCAGACATCTCTTGCTGGCAAGGAAACACATGGGGCAGCACAGGAATCAATCACATAGGCTTTCCCATCCAGCTGGCTGAATGGAATCCACTTCTTCAGCACCTCACAATACCTGGGAATGACAATCTATGCTATGATATGGAATAGTCTATCAGAGCTGTAAGAGGAACTCCCTGAGACCTGCACCTGCAGCATCACCACATCTGTGTAAAGAAAGGGAATTCTGTGGTCTCAGCTCCATAGGTACCAACTGCTGTCTGGTTTTCCCTAGCGAGCTACGTGAAAGAGAAGTGTCCTACATGAAAGCTTTAGGTGCTCTGGCAACACAGTGTGGTACATGCTGCACTGCTGCCAAATCATCCCTCCTTTCTCTACCCCCATTTACTTCTATGCCTTCGTTAAGCTGATACAAGCAGTTTCCCAGCTCTGTAGTAAACCGATCTGCATTAAAATGACATGGTTGGTTTAGTTTGTGTAACAGGTACTTGTGCCAGGACAAGGGGCATGGTAAGGGAAAATGCCTTTTTGATGACACTTTTGTCACGCTTAAATTAATATTCAGAACTGAATTTCAGAAAGCAAGGGTAGAAATCCTCTGAATACAGTTTTGCATCACTGAGGATCCCAGCTTTCCATGATTCTGCTAGCTCAGTGTCCATAACACATGCATGGCACTTGTAATAATGTTAAAACAGGGACTCTGTGCATGGCTGTTTGAAAACTGCAAATTCATTCTGCATGCTAATTTATGCAGACAGGCACAAAGCTGTCTGGATGGAATATGGCCAAAAGACTTTGTGCTAAATATAATGTAAGAAAAAAGCATCTATCAGTGGCTCAACCCTTCATTTTTTCCAGAACTACCCTAATGTAGGACTGAAAATGTTGTTCCTGCAGACTCGTGCTAAGCAGAGTGAGATAGAGTGCTGCACTTAGGCAATTCCATCCCATATCTTCTACAGCTGGCTGTAATTCTGGTGCTGGAACAGCAAGCAGGCTTTCAAGAAGACCTGTGCAGCTTGGATGGCATTTACAGGTAGTGATGACCATATGAAATTTCAATCTACCACCAACGATCCCTTTCCACACAGCTCACGAAGCACAAGAGCTGCTATTTCTGGTTCCCCAGCAAAGACAAGCGAGCTGAGCTGCTGGTCTGTAACAGCAGCAGTGAGCAGCTGGCCCCACCAGGTGGCTGCTTTCTCAGTTTTGTGCCTCTCAGAAGCACAGAGAGCACAGCTGGCAGGTCCTTAGTCAGAAAAGATGCTGGACAAGACAACGGTTTGCAATGAGAGTGTGAGAGAATAGTTTGTCCCTGTGTACAAGAACGTTTTTACACATTAAAAACATCAGTAGGAAGAAAACTTTCACACATTTTGTTCCAAAATCTCCTGCAGGAAGCGAGGTCTGAAGAAAGGGCTTTCCATTGCTCTTAAAAACCTCACATGTTGTCAGCAAACTGCAAATTGTTCACCTTTTGCTTCAGTGTTTATACATGGAAAGATAAAGGGTCAGCCTAGTGCCATTATTCTGGGGCCACGTTCCCACTGGAAACACAGCACTGCCAGAAGCAGCACTACCTGCACCATGCCATCAGCACAAGCTGCCTCATAAGCTGAAGGAAAATGGGAACATCTGTGTGGAGCTTACATCACCCACAACACACATACATCATACGTGCAGAAAAACGTGGCGAGAGCCGCTAACACCAAACGGATGTTGGAGGGTTTAATTTCTTCCATCTACAATTATAAAAATCTCATCATCAAATGTTACAGTACATTTACATCAGCAAAACCCCACGGCCTTCCTCGTTCCTCGGCTTCTGTACAAATCACATACAATACAGAGTTGCATTTTAGTCGTACAGACATCATTTTGCATCTTCACCACAGTGGAAAGTCTGGTTCTCTGGCACGTCCCTTCCCACACGGTGCCTGCACAGCACAGCACGGAGCACTGCTGGGATCTCCAACTCCACTCACGTGGACTGACCAACAGCCCTACAACTCCAACGTTGTAAATAATGAGAAAATCTGCCACTGGTTTGTATAACAATCAACAGTTTATTAATGGATATGGTGAAATTTTAGCTATCCACCAAAGATGTGTAAAAAATTGTCATGAAAGTAAAAATAAATAAAGCTGTTTTTAAAATCAGTCTCGTTTTACAACTCGGTTCAGAATGCGACATTTAACACAAAACTGTCATTAAAGTTTTAAAGAAGTCTACTGATATTCAAATTACAGCTTTTATGACAAGTCTAATGAGAACTGAAACTGATTTGGTTTAGGTTTAAAGACTTTCACATTCAAATACAGTGTCTCATTTAACACAATACTTCCTTTGACAGTGATGGGCAACAGTGATGACATATTGCTGTATTTTGACATAAGGCACTATGATATGAATATGCCATACACTTGCCTTATGTCACATATATCCATTGCTGACCAGTGACTTCTGTCAAATACAAAATGAAAAAGTTTCAGAATACAGTGCATTTTAATGAAGGACATCGTGTGAAGTCTTCCAGCAAATGTTCTGAAGACGTTTTGAAATACAAGCCTACATTGTAACATAAGCTTTTGTCATGCTGCTTTGTTTTTTTGCGACATCACTGGGGGGGAATAGACTCATCATCCATCACTAAGTCCCAAAACACATTCTCAACCATCCTGCTCTGTTCTATTGCAGTCACTGTTCTCGAGACAAACTTGACCCAGAAACTTTGTTCAAGTTCTCCTACAAACGTTTATACATTCACAGCAGTCATTCACTTTCATTCTCCTTTTGTTTGGCACCTGTTAACAGAAGAGGAAAGCACGTGTGATTTCCTAATGCATACAGCAGCTGCCTCATGGAACGGCATCGCTCGTTCTGAACGCTGCAAGTACTGTCTGACCATGTTACCAGAACCATAGGACTGGACTCCATCCATAAGGAGCACGCTTCAGGACTGCTGAATGCTAACACAGGTTGAAGAAGGCCTGGAGGCCTGCCTCTAACTTCATTGGCAGGGTAATTCTCCAAGTCACAACTGCCTTTGAAGTACCGCTCCCCAAAAACGCCATGCTGCAAGCCTGTCCATCTGCTCAGGGAGCCAAGTTTAATCATCACAGTGCTCTTAAAAAGTGAGGTCATACTTGGGGAAAAAAAACCACAAGGTAGGAATTCAGTTTAAATACACTGCACTGAGTGATTTTTCTGGCTCAGGGGCAGATTCTGCTTACAGTAAGAATCCAAAAGAGCTGTTCAGCAGAACCACATAGTGCTGCGCCTCCTCTCCAAGCACTGCCTACACGCTGGGCCATGAGTGACCCCTAAGGTGAGCTGGCTTCGGCACCCAGCTCCAGTGAGCAGAAGCTCTTGCCAACAACTGTTTGTAATACGTCATCACAAACACTGAAAAATCCATTACATTCACCCACTTTTCACGTCACAAGTGATTTCCCCCTCCCACCCCCCCCCTCCTGCACACCAGTCTCAATTCCTGTCAGTCAACACATTTTTCTTTCTGGTCAGTAACAGGAAAAGGGCATTTACAGGGCATGATTTACCTGGTCGTCCTCACACATCCACTGTAAGAGGTGAATCACATTCTGAACTCCACAAACTAGACCTACGTTGCAGACATCTTTACTTTGTCACCCCACGTTGCTGGCAGCACAGCCCTGCCTGTGTGTTGTGCTACCTCCTGCTCTCTAGGGCTAGGCTCTTTTGTGACACCTGATGAATCCACAGCTTTTTTGCTGGCCAAGTTTCCCATCAGATCAATGGGATAAAGCAGCTCACAGAGGGATCTCATGAGAAGCTGCCACATGCTAAGCACCAGAAGCACATGACCTGGAGTACGGGAGTGGTTGTAACTCCCCTCAAGGATATGCTCAGCTCTGTTTCCTCAACCTGGTATTTTGAAGGCAAAACTGTGACCTTCAGACATTTTCTGTCTGTCTTTCTCACAAAGCCAGAGGAGGACTTTGCTTTAGTCGTTGTGACACTGAAGTCATTTACACAACCAAAGTGAAGTTCCAGTTAAGAACACGGAGCAGATCAGTAACTTGGGCAAAAGTAAAAAGCAACAAAACAATCCAAGTAAAAGTAGCAGAAAAAATTAAATGTGCTGATAGGTTAAAGGGAACCTGATCAAGTTTAGTGATACATCAGAGTTCTACTGGAATAATTCACTCTGGTGTGACATCTCTAACACAGCAAAAAGTGACAAATACTGACAATTAAGCACTTTGTTAGCTATTACTTGCAGGGAAGTGAAACACTTATTTGAAGAGTATAATCAAACTTACACAACTTTTAAATCAGCAATGTATTTGTTATCATACCAGCTAAGACCAGCAAGCTGTATGCACTATGAATGACTTACGGAAAACATCAGAATGCAACATCCATACCTGCTGGCGTGAGTACCAAAGCCTGTAGAATGTCAGAAAGGGAGATGATACCCACAATGCTATCTGCTTCATTCACTACCACCAAACGATGAACCTGTGAGCAGGGAAAACATTTTGAGAGATTTTCCTGATGTGAAGTAAGAGCTAAAGGCACACAGCTGCCTGACGGCAATAAAATCATACCTGAAATGGCAGACAAGCCAAGATCTATGCCTTGAAAATACTACAGAATGGGAGAGTGCCCTCATCTCAGCACTGCAACCCAGCTCAAGCTGGGAGCTGTGCAACCAAAGGGTCATAGCTGAGCCACCTCATAAAGAGGTCATCCTCGGGAGGACGTCTGTCACAAGTAGAGACCTTGGTACTGCTTTACTTCTTACCCAAAATGAATTTGGGCTTCAAGTCTAACTAATCAAATGCAATTGTGAAGAAAGTGAAAAATATTTCTCATCTTTTCACAGAAGTGACAGCAAGAAAGCTGCAGTGTCTTGACTTCATACAGATGTGAGTTTATTGTGGAGGTCAACAACTTCGCCGTCAGTCAGATAAAGCAAAAAGAAAAAAAGAGGATCTCAAATGTATTTGCAGAGTCACACTCAGCTGACACTGTGAGGAAACACTGCGAGAGGGGGAAAGTGGGAGAATATGTTTTGCATTTTCTTTCTACCAAATCTATGTTGGTGATATTTTCAGTGCACACACACACACACACACACACACACTCTTTCTTCTCTCAGTGTAATGAATTCAAGAAGAATGGACAGTGCAGTTGTTTCACATCCAGTGAGATCAAACATTTTGTCTGGCAGCTAAAAATAGCATCAATTAGTGCCTCCCTTGTGGCTTTGACTGACTCATTTTTGCATAGCCTCACTATGTTTAGACTGAGCCAAAGGGTAGGAGTTGTTCTGAAAACCCAAATGTCTAAAGCTTCTGAAGACATTAATTAGATCAGCCACATTTGGAATCTGTGCATCAGCAATGCTAAAATCACTGAGTTTCAGGAAGAAGCTCAAGCTGATGCAGGAAACTGTGTCAAAATCACCTAATGGAAGTTCTGAGGGTTTTTTTTTTTTTTTTACAACATGGGAATTCTGCTCATATTAAGCAAATGTACAGTTATGGCCCCAAAGACGAAAAAAAATGTTGTAGAATTGAAGGAGTCATTCATATCTATGTGTAAGAAGGTTCCCAGAACTAAAATCAGAGGATAAACCACACAAGAAGAACAGGAAAAAAGCACTGAGTCATTTACAAGACAATTGGTGAACAAGTTCTTCGTGAGACTTTATTCCTTGGCTTTGTTTCACAGTTTGTATTCTTTTAAGTATATGTAAGTCAAGAAATCAAACTGATCCCTACATATGTAAACATGAACAAAACATATTTTCTTCAAGTAACCAAAGTAATTCCAGAAGGATAAATTTGTCCTATTTATTAGTTTGGTCACACAACTTTTACAGGGAGGGGAAATAAAAAAACAGTGGCAAACTCACCTCAGCCTTCACTATCCTATCAACAATGGTCTCCAGTGTTTCCAGCATACTACACTTTACAACACCTTCAAAATACTGAGAACGGTGCTGTAGGGCTTGTGTCACCGTGATATCTAGGTTATTATAGGTTTTTTCAGCAGCAAGGTTCTGAAAAACAAGGCACACTGCTCACTACTTAGTGATAAAGTACTCAACAAAGCAAATATCTTGGCACCAAGTAGACACACATTTCGGGGGTACACTGAGTCTGTTCCAAGTCACATATCAAACAAAGCAGATGCTCTTCAGTTGCAGTTTTTAGGAACAGTCAAAGGTGCAACTACATTACAGATCATAGAACGACTGCATTAATTGATTAATAATGTTTTCTGACTATACATTAGGCCCATGAAAGTCTCCTTACTTCGTTATCTAATATCTGGCTTGATGTCACTCATCCTGCTTCTGCCACAAGGAAAAAAGGAAAGATGATGCTCTATAGGTTTCAGAATATACTAGAAGAACAAACCATTTGTTTTGATTTTCAAAGGCCAGGTGAGGACAATATTTTGGCTAGTCTGAACTCTACCCATTAAGTAGATCCTACTACTAAGCATATCCACTAGAGATCCAAGTGGAAAACAAACGGTAAGTCTTCTTCAACCTTTCTATCTGCAGGCTCGAACTCCCTCTCCTGGACTGTGCTGGAACTACCACTCGACACACATTGCATCTATTTTATTAAGTACAATAAAAACTTATATATTAGCACATTAATTTCCAATTGCTCACTACATAAAAAACACAATAGAATTTAAAAGGCATACTTACTATTACATCAAATTTGGAATAAATATCTACAACTTTTCCTAGAAAGAAAAACATGTATTAATAAAGTGTTTGCAATAGAAAGTTTTCTTGTGTCCTGTTTTCATTTGTTATTTTGTAATGATACAGAGAGATCAAGAAGGAAAGATAAAAAACCAAACAAAAAAAAAAAAAACAAATCAAAACTGGCCACCCATGATGAATCTTCCACGTCTGTCAGCCTCTATCTTGCATAATCATTCTACGTATTCTAATCATATATATATAAATTACATATATACACACAATGTTATATATATATATAAAATCAATCCAGGCTTCATCAGCATTTATCTTACACACTTGTGTACAGCAGAATCAACACACACCTGACTCATCCACAACAGGTAAAGCCGATATCCTTCTCTCTACAAATATATTCAAGGCTTTAATGATAGGAGTGTCTGGATGTATGAAGGCAATGTTGTGGTAAGTTCCTATTCCAAGTTCATCCAGATTCTTCTTCATAAAGGCAGGCTTTGGCATTTCTGACATCTAGGAAGGGCAGATGAATGTATTTACACAATGCAGTTTTCTGCATGACACACCACAGTTACCGAGTTTTCCATACGTAATTAGGAAACATATTCACTCATCCATCTTGAGACTCCAAACAATTGTTACAGATCATTACAATAATCTGTTACTAGATTTAGCTAAAGCCAAAACAAGCTTAGATCTAGAAGCATTAGTACTGTTCCAGCAAGATTTAAATCGAGACTACACATCTAAGCTGTTTTGCTTGTCAGTTTTTGTAATGGCCCATCACTAAAATCTTTGGATCCTAAACTATGTCATCCCCATTGATCTGAAAAGAGAAGGCAAAGATGTGAGATGCTGCATGCTTATTTTGACACTCTTTTGATTGCTTTGCCTCCTGTCCATTCCTGTGACCAACATACAGTACAGTAACTTGTGTGAAGGTTGGCTCTAGGAGATGAGACATTATTCTACTCATGTAATCAAAACAGCTCCTGCAGCTGAGATCACCCAGAAGACGATACCAAGATACTCAAAAAGCCAAAACATATCCCTGGTGTTTTTTGTTTGGTGCTTGCTTCTTTGCCTTCAGATGATTAAAACCAAATAAAGGTAATGTCTAGGCTACAGTGCATCACCTGAGCTTCTCTGTTAGCAGAAAAGATGCACGAAGGAACAACAGAGTGCCCAAACATGGAAGATTACCATGAAGTTTCTGAACACGTTGCTTAACATTGGAGAGGTCTACCTGGGCTGAAGGTGAGTGGGTAGAGGGAAAATATCAGTTAAAGCAAAACAGAAGTACTTACAAAAAGCTGGAGGAACTTGAGGATTCTTTTATGGGTAAGTATATAAAGTGCATTTCCACTGACGGGATCTATAACTGGCAATCTGTGGATTTTGTTTTTGATCAATGAATATACAGCATCAAAAAGGCTGAGGAGAAAAGCATATTTTAAAATAAATGGTTGCCAAGAAAGAGTAACATCAAGTGATGCATGTACAGGTTTACAAACCCATAGAAGGGACACAGTTAACTGCATTACCTTTAAATGTTACAGAAGTTAAGGCCTTTCAAATTATGTTTTCTAGGATATTCCATGCAAGCAGCTCCATTCAGACACAATCCTTATGACAAAACTGAATAACCTGTTCATGGCTTAACAGTAACAATACTACTGAGGATATTACATGCAATTACTTTGAGATAATCACTACAGCTTACTTTAAATGGTATAAGCAATCCTATTCCAGAAACTAAAAGCAAGAATCAGAAGTTCACTCTCCTGCTCTAGTTTACAATTGAAGCTGTTTCTCTGTGCGAAAGACGACTCAAATTCAGTGTTGAAATGGAGTTCGTTTCTTTCAAGTTAAGCAAAATGGAAAGGAAAATCCTACCTTGCATCTGGGGAGATGTTCACTAAAGGTTTAAACGTCTCTTGTAAATAAAGTTCTGTGCATAGAAAAGCAAACCATTACCATTTCTGTGGGAAAGCATCAGCAGTTTCATAAAAGCACTTCATGAATTCCTTAGCACAAAATTAAACGAACAGAGGAGACAATGACTATAGATACCCTACCACCTGTGCATGTTCTTCTACGTCAACAACAGAGGCTGAAATTCCAACAGGATTAAGCTAATTACCACCAGGGGTCACTGCAACCACAGCAAACCATTTGCTAATCTCTTCTGAGCAGACTGGTTTGTGCAGAGGGCTGATCTATGTTACAACACAGCATGCAGTCCGTTTCCTCACAAAGATTCCTGGCTGCATTCATTTCTGCTCACATCCCCCACATGCTATGAGTGTTGTAACCATACTGTGCAGCTCTCTCAGGCACGGCTTGCTGCTCAACTCTCACTTCACTCAATACCTACAGCCATCTATTCACTCTGCACCCAGGTTCAGTTACATTCCCATTCCAGGTACAGACATCACTCTGAGGCCAGTACACCCCCTGGTGTGATTCCATTTCTTTTTAAGAAAGTATCAAGATGGTACTGAACAGGGAAAAGTAGTGAAGCAATATATAGCATAATCGTTCTAGTTCATGTACTGTTTCAGGTAGAAAAAAAAATGAGCCCCAGGAAGAAGCAGACAAGCTTTTATTATTCCTGCTTCTATTAAAAAGTATGTGGAGAAAAATATGTTATGATTAATTAAAAATCCACTGTACTTAACATTAATGATAGACTTTTAACTAGCAACTGAGCAGTAAATGAACTTACCCCTCCAGGTTTCTATTTTGTGTTCCTCCAATTCATAGATCTGAACCTACAACAGATGGAAGGTATTAATTTTAAAGCCAAAATAATTAACAATATTGTTTATCTCTGAATTATTCCCTTATTTTTCATTGCGGGCAATTTAACAAGAATCCAACTGATTGCCCAGACCAGAATAATATTTATTGGCAATATTGAGACAGAAGTGTGCAATCCTGCTCGGTGCGGAATACCACACAGGACCACATCTCAGGGGACAGGAGAGATGTTTCACTTGCCCAAGCTATAGCCCAGATCTCTTCTAGACTCACCTTGAAATAATCACCCAGAGTAAAATCTCTGATAATCCCTCACACACCTGAACAAGAGCTTATCCTAATCACCTCTTAATGCTAAAAAGTGATTAATTTTACATTTGTTGAACTACAAACAAAAATGCAGTTGGTTTAGCTCCTTCCACACTGCTCATGGTTCTCTGAAAGGGCTCAAGATGCAGAAGCTGCTTTTCTCTTCAGGTACCAAGCTGCAAGCCAGCCACTCCCAACAGATAAGAGTTGTGCTTGCCCTAGCATAGGCCAAAGCAGCCTGTTGCCTTCTACACTGCTCCTCTCTGCCTGTACCTCTGTAAGGCCTGATGGAGCTGAAGAGTGTGAAGGTGAAGGGTAGGAGCCTCCACAAAACCTACTCCACTCTTCTGTGAGCCAATGGAGACCATTTTTGGATCACACTGGAACTGACACCCTTCAAAGAGTGTTAAATTACCATACTACAATTGGGCTACTCAATGTACTCTTTCTGGGTGGTATAAAAGATGTCCAGATGAGTAGTAAAGACTTCTTTTAGGGCATTTAAAAAAACAAACAAAAAAAAGATTAAAAAAGAAGCCAGCTAAGCTTGTGGAGCACAGTTCAGTCTACCAAAGTGATGAGAGGAACAGGAGAACTCCTCAGCTGCTGAGAAGATGAGGCCAAGTTCAGCTCTGTGATGACACCATATGGATGAACGTACCTGAACTTTCCTGATCAATCATTCAAGAATATTATCTAGCTAATGAACAGTAATGTGCTTCACACTGTGAGGAATGTGATGTGTTTAGGAGTGATTAAAATACTTAAAAACTGAATTTTCAGCACAATTGCACTTAGTAGAACTAGAGCATCCCCCAACCGAACATCTACTATTTCTTTTTCTTCTTCTACAGGAGACTGCATCAGTCACCCTTTGGTCAGATGTTGCCAATTCTCAGTTATTCACCCTTCCCCAGCCCAGAGGCTGTGTTTAGCACCACCTCTTCTACGGACTTCTGCACAACAGCATGTTAGATAGCACAAACAGGAATGGCAACTGCTAGACCATAAGTGAAACTGCACAGGAGCACTGGTTATGTGACAAGATATATCACCGTAAATATCAAGAACAGACATGATCACCTGACTTTGAGAAGCCTGATATCACAGAATGGCCTGGGTTGAAAAGGACCATTATGATCATCTAGTTTTAACCCCGCTGCTATGTGCAGGGCTGCCATCCAGTAGATCAGGCTGCCCAGAGTCACATCCAGCCACATCCAAATACATCAGAAGCCTGTTCCATCCAACTGCCAATTCTTTAGCTACTAAAACACAGTATGTATATTTTAATTCAGTGGGGAATTGGCATTGACAGGAACAAGAAAGGGATGTAAATGTTTGTATGAACACGTAAGCAAGAGAACCTCATCAACCGACTGCCAATGGGAATTTTTTAAATTACAGTTAATTGAAGTCAAGAGATCTTCAACTGATTGTGTAACTCAGCCACACAACTAAAACCTCTGCGTTTGTTCAACTAGTTTAACTCATTCTTTCTAAAGCACCACTTCAAGATTTGAGTTACCTCTTAATTCCCCCATGGCTCCACAAGCCAGCTTTGTGCTCAGCTCCACATATTCCTCTCAGAATAACTCTCTATCAGTTATGAGACAATGCTGATTTATTTATAAAGGTATAAATTAATAAAAACACACCAGCTACTGTGTAGCCATATATTTGATTTTTAAATACAACTAACTTGTTCTTACAATTTCAAGCACTCTCCAGCCCTGAATACAATATTGTTTGATAATGTCCATTTACATGGAGTTCTGATTAATGTTAATTCATGTGTTTTGAAACAATCTGGACAAAAACACATACAGTGATCAATAATCAAGTATTTCACCTTCATACATTTATACTCTGCCTAGTTTTTAATAAATAGGTTATTGCAGGTCCTTCATTCCAAGAGCGCTAGACAATAGCTGCAATTCCAAATGGAGCTTGTACCCAACCCCAAGGCTCTCATGGTGAAGCACCACACAAAACACAATAAATGGCAGTGCTCATTAAGGAAATTCCTCATGTTTACACATGTCTAACAGAAGCAGAAAATTATTTTACCTGCCCAAGCTCATAGGACCTTAATGGTTAAGTGGTTATAGCCAGGAATTGAATAGATGTATCCATACACCATTCTACTTCCTTGAGCAAAGCATTTTCTCTCAAAAAAATTCTGAGTGTACTCATGACACACCTAAGCTTCCAGACACTTAAAATAACTACCGTCCATCCTTCAAGCAGTTTGATATTTCACTTTCTATACTGTATGACAACTGATAGAGGCTTAACATCATACTCACCATTGGAGATTTATAGTATCTATGCAGTATGTTAATGAAATCTGTAATTGTTAACATTCCTACAAAAAGTGATACAGAAAGAAAGTTCTTCAGACATACACTTCAAACATAAAAGTTCAGTTATTTTCTCAATTTACAGTCATGCTCTATAATGTAATTAACAATAAATCTGCACAACACACTGCCTATTTGCTACGTATGTAAATGTTCACATTGATACAAAACTTCACAAGAAAAATATACAACTGTGAATTAACATTCAAAGCCACAACCTATGTGCTTCTCCTCTTCTTTCAGTCTCACAAAAGAAAATCTATTTCTTCCACTGTGGGATATAATATCCATGGCATTCCAAGTTAGTTCTGGCACTCAGTGATTTCACAGTGCACCTTGCTGAGAACACGCAGAGAACCACAAGCACATCGGTGTTACATTTTTCTTTCCATAGTTCTTATTTCCACAGTTCTTTTTTTGTGACCATTACGGTTATTTTTAAGTGCACAGGGAAAAGCATACACTAGATAACAAATTTCAGAAGCTCAAGACCTCAAAGAGTCACTGTGATTGTCAAAGAACAGCAGAACTATGCAAGCTAACAACATTTCGTGCCTCACAAGAGAAAACAAAGAAACCCAGCAGCATCGCTTAGGATGTCAGACCATGGCTAAACCCAGAGCACCTCCCACAACAGTGCAGCACGCTGAAAATTCAAATACAACTCAATTATGTCAGAACAACTTACCTACAAAACTCTGTTTTTTACTCTCCCACAGTGGAGCTGCTCTCACACCATTTGCCACCAAGGCGAAAAAGGCCTTCTTTACCTGCAAAGAGAGTGAACAGCGACATAAATCTTTGCTCTTAACTTAGCACACCAGACAGCAGCAGAAGGATTTCCACAGTTACTAGGAAAAAACACGGTTATGAAGAGGTAGCTGCTATTCAAAACAGAACAAAAACCACACGTGCTGCCAAACAAAAACCTTAAAGCCTTTTACTTCCATAGAAGGCTTAAAAAACTCAGCAAAACCAGACCTGTTTTGTTCTGTTATGCGAATGTGCCACGTGAGAATCTCTGATGAACGAGTATCTCTACATCCATGGCATTGCTCTTTGGTCCAAAGAGCACAGAAGTACCAGCTGCAATCGCCTGATGATCGCGAGCTGAACAGACAGCATTTACACACTGACACCTCAACATCCACTGACAGCTCCGTGCTCAGAGGCTCCTTTCCACAACAGCCAGGAATAAAAGGGCTTCACGTCAATGGAATTTGTACGCAAAAAAGCAGCAACAAACAAAAATACAGGTAGGCAAAGAGCAAGTCTGCTACTGTTCAGTGCAATCTACCCGGAGGAAGTTTGCAAAGCCCTCCAGGTGAAAGCCAGTGTAATACCACATTCAGCGTAACACCTATTTTGACTTCACTTAGTTATAATTTATCAGCTTCAATTTCTAGAAGTGAATAAGCCTCTCAGTCTGCAACAGAAAGCAACGCCTCTTCCTGCAGCTCTGTAATTCACACTCAGCATTTTGCTACGTGGTGCTGCCCTACTTGCATGCAAACCCCAGCCTTTGAGGTGGGACTTCTGAAAGCAACCCGTATTTCTTGCAATCTCTCAACAGCCAGTCTGCCTCTGCCCTGCTCACAAGCTCACCTGCTCCCCTGATTCAGCTCAGCTCTCAAAGCTGCCTTCAGAACTCACCGATCGTTCTGCCACATCATCCATGAGCAGGAATGATGATCCACATCCACCCCTCATCTGCACTGAAACTGAAGAAACCGTATGGAAAAAAATACCAAGCACCACAAATAAGACTGTAGTGCACACAGCATGCACTAACTTTCTAGAAAGTGGTTAAATAGAAAGGTGCCAGAGGTATTAAGGCACCCTACTGACACAGGGAGGTACTGAGTAAAACAAGCATTAGGAAATGCACCACAGGAGCACGCTAACTCAACAGGAATACTGAAACCACAATGAAACCCTGCAGGCAGATGCACCAAGTGCTCCCACACAGCAACATCACGCCTGCTGTTAGCACAGCAAAAGCTAACAGCAATATTTGGAGAGCACATAGGAGACAGAAGTGAGGTCACACAGACTGACTCCACCTTGGGGCAAATTAAGTTGGTTCTAATGAACCTTCATTAAAAAGAAAGAAAAAAAAAAGAACACTTCAGAGTGCCCAAAGCTGGGAACCTTCAGCTTCTGTATCTTTCCATAACACTATCACACATTTTAAGAGGTCACTGTCAACTCACATCCCAAGTCTTCCGCAAGATTCAGATGGTCAAGCTCTAGCACAACACTAAGATTGAGATGCTTCAGGCAATCTCCAAATTCATGCTATTACTACTCTTTCTCAGACAAAGCAGCACCAAAGTACACCATCTAGAAAAGCGTCTGGCTGGTAAAAATGCAAGATTAATTCTTGCCCTGGTTCTTTGATTTATTAGCAAGCGATTTGTGCCAAAGAAACCCAAATCTTCTGTTAGATGCCATCCCAACGAGTTTACAAGACGGTTTTTGGAAAAACTGAGACCTGCTGAAATGATACAACTACTAAGATAGTGGAGTCAAAACTTTAAAAGCCAGTGAGTTCAGATTGGGACCAGCAGTATTAAACTTTTAAAATAAGTTACCACCAAAATGCCCCATCCCTGGAGGCATTAAAAGCCAGGCTGGATGCGGCTCTGGGCAGCCTGAGCTGGTGGTTGGTGACCCTGCCCATGGCAGGAGGGTTGAAACCAGGTGATCTTTCAGGTCCTTTTTAACCCAGGCCATTCTGTGATTCTACAATTCAATGAAAACTTAGTAGGAGATGCTTATGTTATATTATATTATATTATATTTTCCTCCTAAACCACAGCTTAAGCAATGGCCCTACTGTTCTCTCCAGATTTATACATTAAAGTGTTATATAGTTACCTTTCAAATAATGCCAACAATTAAAGTTACATTAATACCTGTCTCTTCTTTAAATAAGGTTGTAATGAAGCAAAAACCAACTTCATTCTTATTTGCTAAAACCGCTTGCAAGTGCAAGCATCCAGTCCCCCACTCACACTTTCTGCGATTTCCCAATTTCAGCTGCCCAAAGCACTGCTGGGTGGGCAGCCAAGGCACTGGGCTGTGCAGCTGGGCTTTGATCCAACACACGCAGACATTTCAGTGATGTTGGTGCAGAAAATATCCACAAGCACCTTTACTTCAGATTACGTACAGTCTGCAGCCTTTGAACATTTCCAGCACATGCCATCATTAGACCTCCAGCAGTACTGGTAGTTCCCAGCTCCACCAGCACTGCTCGCTTGAGCCAGCTTTGTGCTGTGGTCCCCTGATCTCAAGTAGAATGCTGGAATGGCCCCACCTTCCCAAAGCCATTGTTCTGTAGCCAGGTCCCAAAGAGCATTGCTGTTCAATGCCACATACAAACATTTCAGAACAAAAGCACTTTCTTCCTTATTAACCATGCAGTGGTTCTGAGAAGCACAGCGAACCGTTCAAAGATGGTCCTTGTCTGCTCAGATTTCAAGATGGACTTGATGCATGCTGACCTTATTCACCTCATTTCTTCATAATCAACAGGGGAAGCAGTTATTTCTGGGGCACGACTCACCAGCCTCAGACTGAGACAAGCTGCATCCCACAGACACCAACCTGCCTCACACACACACATTTACATGTTGTTTTATCTAACTGCTCTCATAAGCGACCAATGGATTTCAAACTCACCCACCAAGCCTGCCCCATCATGAGGGTGACTGCTAACACTGCAATCATTTGTTTCATTCACCCAGCAGAAAGATTCTCATCCTGGAGAAAGGTTGTAATGGGAACCTGGTGGTGAATGGAGAACGCAGAGCACAGCAGAGCACAAAGCCGTGCTGAAGGAGACATCTCAGCACTGTGGTCTCAGTGCCAACGTTAACTTGAAAAAGGTGGAAGATAAGAGAAGTAAGAAACACAGCAACTCCAAATCTGCCACTGTGAAGCATAGGAATGACAGGAAAGATTAGCAGCACAAGCAGCATTAAGAGATCTTCCAGGACCCTGTGGTATGGCTGTTATCCAAGGCCAAAGTGATTAACGCTGGTTGTGCTCTGGAAGGGCAGGCTGAAGAAAGAAGGTGAAGCCCAGGAGAAGCCTACGAATGAAAACACTGACCTCTGCAGCCTGTGGACACCATGCAGAGCACAGCTACATGTGCAGCCCATAGTGGAGCAGAAGGTCTGGGGAAACAACCCCCCTGGGGCTCTGTGCTGGAGCAGTGACTGAAGGATGGGATCTGTGCTACAGAGCCATGTTGGAGCAGTGCTTGAAGAGCAGCAGCCTGTGGGAAGCCCACAGAGGGTCAGTTTGGGAAGGACAGCATCCCATGGGAGGGATCCCACATGGAACAGGAGCAGAGAGTGACCACGAAGGAACAGATAAGATGAAGCATTAAGGACTCACCACAGCCCTCATTCCCCTAGTTTGCTTCTAGTTCTCACTGCTCTGGCCCGTTATCAATAGGTAATAAATTACACTAATCTCCCTCATGCAGTCTGTTTTGCCTGTGACAGCAACTGACGAGCAATCTCCCTGTCCTTATCTCAACCCACAAGCTTTTCTCCATTGTATTTTCTCCCCCGTGCTCTTGAGGAGGAAGAGCGAGAGAGCAGCACAGTAGTGCTGAGCTGTCTATTAGCATTAGGCCTCCACAGTTCCTCACAAAAAGGAAAATAGATTCCACGTTTGAGTGATAAAAAGCATTCGTATGCTTACAATGAGAAGTGCAGAGTGATTGACAGCCTCTGCTCTGCCCTCTCATTGCAGCCTCTCACTGTTTATAGAAGACTTATAAACAGGACAGAGACCAACCTATCTGATAGTGATAGGACAAAGGGGAACAGCTCAAGGACAGGCTGGATGGAGCCCTTAGTAACCTGGCCTGGTGGGTGTCACACCTGTTACAGCAGTGTAGAATGAGATTATCATTAAGGCCCCTTCCAACCCAAGCTGTATAGTGATTCTATGATGATTTTATGACTGTCCTAGTTTTTCACATTTTGCACAGTCGCTGTAGAGTGAAGGCATAAAAGCTTTCCATATTTCTTTCCTTTCTGGGGCCAAAACACATTTATACTTCAACACTTCCTACTTGCTAAGCACATCAGAAGTAGAACAGTCAGTCTTCGCTGCACTAGGAAAACAGCAGGCCTCTGCTGTGATCCCTCTACTGCAAAAGAACCCCAAAACCTCAGCAGCCTACACTCCATTCCTTTGGTTTAGGTGTGTTTATGAGCTGATCGCCTTTCAACTTCTTTTGATGCAAATATCCAAAGAATGGAGCAAGATCTCTTCACCGAACATAATCTGAACTATACTTCTCAAAGCAGCACAGCTAGTCCTATGGATGCCCACGTCTTGGCACACATGGGGAACAGGAAAAACACAACAAAACCCAAAAAACACCAAAACACTCACAACCGATGTATGAGATGCAAGCCTGATGCTGTCTAACTGCAAGAACATCTTCCCAGCAGAGGAAACTGTCCCTCTCTGCTCTGCTCTCTTGAGGGCCCACATGTGCACCATGTTCAGCTCTAGAGACCCCCTTCCAAGGACATGGAGGGGCTGGAGAAGGTCCAGAGGAGGCCACAGGGATGCTCAGAGGCCAAGAGCACCTGAGCTATGGAGACAGGATGTGATTTAGAGAAGGCTTCAACAAGACTACAGCAATCTTCCAGCACCTACATGGCCTACAGAACAGCTGGGGAGGGACTCTTTATCATGGTGTATAATGACAGGACAAAGGGTAACAGCTTTAAACTAG